CGTTTAATTTCTACCATCCGTCTCCATCATGTTGTCCAGCATCGCTGGACAACGTCTGTCGTGTATTTATGTTAATTGCGTTTGGAGCCCATTGAGAGACCGCTGCATAGTGGCGCAGACTGGGTTTTCATCGGTCAAAATGATGTTTCGTTACAAATCGATGCCATTATATTTATTGCAACTTGACTTTAAACATGAGAAAAGTAGTTCAGTTAAAATATCTAAACAGCAATCTACTAGTTATGTAGTAAACAAATTAATGAGTTATAACAAACTAGATCTGTAATAGCATCAGCTCTTCTCTTATAATCTCTAATATACCGGCGAACGAGCTTTACATATCAAAGAATCACTGGATCTGTCTAAACAACAGTCAAATATTCATAAAACACAACAAAAATCCATTGAAAGAAGACTAAATGTATGTAAGGAAAATAACGTGAGAATTATTTTTTAGGGGCACAAGCCCAGAAATCTGTAAATCAAAAACAAGAAAAGAAAAGAAAAAAAGTCAATAAATGTTGTGTTATTTATTTCATAAATAGTACATGCTATTTGTTTGTGCAGTTTTAAAAACTTAGCTCCGTCCCAAAAGTAGATTTTAAAGTATTGGTTTACAGTTTTTTGTAGCTTCTGTCTTCTTCTTTACTCGATACCCTATATAGTATTGTAGCGCTGAACCACTGTATGTCGCACAAATTGTCACACTAAATATTGACATAAAAAGAGAACTGGTCAACGGTTCTGGTCTCTTAATTTGTGTGAAATGGTTTGCATACCGCATTTCTGGATGCGTAATTATGGCTTTGGTGCTTCGTTTCGTTTTGGTGCTGTCATTTATCAATCGGCGCCTTGGTTTCAAATTTTTGCGCAGCTGAACGAAAAATGTAGTGCTGAGCCAGCAAACAAGATTAGAGAAAAAGGAGTGGAATGGAATTGCGACTGGGAAGTCACAATCAGTTTAATTCTATAATGTTGTTGTTATTTGTTGAGTGAGTGAGCACAGCTGGCCAGAAACAAACTTTTTCTGGAGCTTGGGGTAAACAAATTTGCTTTGGAATTTCAAACCTATATCAGCTACTTTTATACACACAGATATCTATATAGTCGTGTGTGTACATCGAAGCAAGTCAAACACTTCATGAAATTAAGAAGAAGCTTCACGCCGCAAACCAATAAATTCTTATAAAGCAGCCTGGATGGACGGGGAGCCAGCCAGCCAGCCAGCCAGACAAAGGAAGGCTGATACGAGCGAGCTGTTCTCGTTTTGGGAAACCTCGGAGAGTGCCGTCGTCATCTTCGCTGAAGCATAACATGCCGCACGCGCGTCCAGCTAAGTGCTACACACACTCAGACGCTGTGGAATTTTGCGCAGGCGCAACATCAACAGCAGCAGCAGCAGCAACATTAACAACAACAGCCCAAAAAGGGCAGCGACTTCTGAGTTTTGGGTAGGCGCACGACGGGTATCGGACCTGCGCTCGTTCCCACCGTCCGATGAGCACGTTCTCGGACGTGCAAAATTCAGGCAGAACGAATGCGCAGCACGAAATAAACTGTTTGATTGGTTAGCCGGACTTTTCCAACCGCTACAAGTAAAGAAGTGAAATTCGAACCATGAACAGAACTTGAGCATCTTCAGGCGATTCGCATTTGACTTCGAAAATAAAGAATCTAACACTATTATTTGTTCGTTATTAATGACGACGATGATGATAAGAAAGGAAAGAATTGTTTTAACTGGGCAGGGAATTGAAGACAATATAAGACTACCTATAAGGCTATCATACAGTTGCAACTGTTTCCTTTTATAGAACAACATAAGATGTTTCGTAGTCTTATTCGTACACTATGATATACGGTTACAACGAACTTCAGTACATAGCTCAAGGACAGATTTGAATACTTCGCTTCGAGCTAAGAAGTTATCTGTAGCATCTTCTATAATGTCCGATGTTCCCAGCCTGGCCTCGAACTGCGGCCTACACGGCCGCAAGCGTCTGCTCTAGTACCGCAACGCCAACCCGTTTAACTGCTAACCACAACCACTCACACACAGTCATAGCCATAGCCAGTCACAGCCACAGCCACAGCCACAATTCGAACGATCGTTTGTTCCATGTCCAAGTGCAAGACCAACTCCAGTAGCTACTGCTGCACGGCCCCAAAACGTACGATGTATACGTAATGATCAGCCGAGTTCAATGTCAAGTTCGTGAGCGTTGAGCGGTGCATATGCTTTGTGTGAGCTCATCGGTCGGTCACATGGGCGAGATTCATGGGCCCGATTTATGAGAGAGCCACTCTTGCTGACGCCTTCAATGACGCCACACCGCACAACTCCAGACATTGGCGCCAGGCCACACCACGACAAGGAGTTGCAGAAACTGTGTCAAATAATATTCGACTCTGTGGCGCCTGACCACACAACATTTGAAATATTCGCATATACTATGTATGTATGTATATAATTATGTATGTTTGTCGCAAAGTTAAGTGGTATTAAAGATTTTTATCTCGCTCGCGATGTGCGGCACTTTAGAGGCTCTTCGAAGGCGCTGCCACAAAGCCAGTGTCAAGGACACACACAACCCGAATTCCTCCTCCATAATTGAGTGTGTGTGAGTCATAAAAACAGGCGGCACTCGTGCTCGCAATGTGACTCATCGCTAATATTTGGAAATAGGGCGTCAAAGGAAGTCATTCGAGCGGAACACCCAAATATGACACGAAAGTTAGGGTCATATACATACATATGTATGTAACTATATGCAATATAAAAGTGTGAGTTCGGCTAAAAGTGCATTGAGCTGCACTTCTAAATTGTGAGTAGAAATACATAGGCATATATGTACATACAGATTTATAAAAACAGAGGAAAGCAATGGATAATTTTTTAGCTTAGAAATGCACGAATTATATTTTAACTACAAAAAAAGTACATACATAAGTAATTCATTGCATATAACGTTACCTTAGGGCTATATATCTACGTACATACTCGTAAATAGGTGGCTTACAATTGTTATTTACATTAATAGCAATTCGCAGAATGTAAACAAATATCAGGTAAGCTCATTTGTGGGCAGATTAACATGCAAATCAATTAATGTAAAGAATAACAGCAGCCAATAATTTCGAAATGGTTTGAAAGTTTGCCTAATGTTATTAGCATTTGTCGCAGACATGGAGATTCCCTCTTATCTATTGAAAGTATTGTGTGCACATGTATTGTTTACATATGTATGTATGTATATATATATGTTAGCGGCCCATTCCGTGCTCTGCTCTGCACAGTTAACAGCTGAGAGGGCGCGGGTGCTGGGTTTCGTTGGTGGTGTCGCATTGTTGGTGGTGGTTGCAAAAATATAACGAAGAATAATTTTAAAATGGAATAACATGGAAAAATTGCATGAAATACAGAAAGGCAAGAACAACTGGCAGTAAATTTGTTTAATTAGCATTTACTCTAAGTTAATTAAACACACGCAAAGCTTAGTGGGCCCACAAGAGAAATAAACAAAGCTTATCACACTGTGTTTTATTGCCGACACACTCAACACACACCTCCACATACACAAACATATACACAAAGAAGCAAATTTGGAGTTATTAAATAATTTAATTTACTGTTGTTACTGAAGTCATGCATAGCTGGCAATGTCGACGCCTTTAAGGCAACAGTAACAACAACAACAAAAAACACAAACATATTTGGGAGAAACACCCGGTTCGCAGCGAACACACGGGAATTTTATTGATTTTTCACACACACACATGCACGCTGAAAAGGAGCAGCGCAGCCAGCAGCGACGATGGCGGAGGCAGCCACTGCGGCTAGATAACAAAAGGCAATAGAAAAAAATATAAAAAAAATTAAGAGCAAATGCATTGTTATACTGTATCTGCCGCTGCCTTTCTGGCGGTGCTGCGACCAACCCCCACCGTTGTCTTTGTCAACCACGCCGGCTGCGCTGCTGCAGCGTCCCAAATTTAGCAGAAATAACTTACTGCACTTAAAACTTTTTACTCCGCACTCTCGTCTCGCTGATGATATTTCTTCTGTTGTCCCTCTACAGCTGCTTTATGGTTTTCAATATTTTAGTACACACCCTTTTGGCGCACCGAAAAAAATTCACACACACACTATATTGAGGGATACACTTATTATTTTTAGCTGTAGTAATTGTATTACCAATTGAAAAGCAAGTGGTTATTGCAGTTTTATTAAACAATTAATAAATAACGGTAACAAACAAACGAACGCCCGCGGCTAGGATACGCAAAGCAACAATAATGTTGTATTCACGTTCCTGTTGTTGTCGTATACAGCACACACACAACACACACGTTGGAGCGGGCGCACTACGCGCGCTCACATCAGAAAAAAAATTATAACAACAACCGTCGAACTTCCGCGACGCACACGTTGCAAAGTCGCTGAACAGACTGAGCCTCGTGCGCTGTTAATGCACGATTTTATTCCCAGTACATGCGCCACTGTTAAGCATTTAACATTTTGGCATAGCGCTGTTAAACGTTCTGCTACACATCTTGCACTAATAATTTTACCTATGTATGTATTTTACCTATGTATACATATATGTATGTATATGTATGTATGTAATTATTTGTAAATATGCAGTCCGATTTTATACCATGTACCATTCCGTTTTTGTTCTTGATCAGCATGACAAGGCTAATCAATCTAAATACTCGTAAAATCTTAATTCATTCCTGTAATTAAGAATTACGAACCCGGTTTTTCTATTTTCTCATATACATACATACATCTTTTATCAGTGAGGTTAAATCAACCATTTGCAGGATGAGTAGATTGCAGAAAATCTTTCTAAGTACTGCCCTCTATTGACGAAATGTGATTTCGTGGACTAAGCGATAAGGACGGATAAATAGCTATAGATTAAAATTAAAATTAGAAAAGAAGAAGAAATTAAATGAAAGGATACACTGGATATTAAAATAAAACCCGAAAATAGTTGATATATGTATGTATGTGTGTATAGAGTGTTTTTTAAACACCAGCCGTTATTTGTTTATTGAAGAATTATATAAAAACCGTCTCAATATCCGTTGAAATTGTGAGTTATTTCAGTTTTCTGCTGTTGTTTCATAGCATTATTGGTGTTATTGAGTTTTTGGTTCTTGATGTGCTGTGTTGAAAGCTTCTCCATTATGTATGTATGTATGTATGTGTGTATAAAGTGTTTTTTAAACACCTGCCGTTATTTGTTTATTGAAGAATTAGTCTCATAAGCCTCAATATTCGTTGAAATTGTGAGTTATTTCCGTTTTCTGCTTTTGTGTCATAACATTATTGGTGATATTGAGTTTTCGGTTCTTGATGTGGTCTCAGGTCTCGGAACGAATCACAGATATATAGTTCGGATACATTTGGACCATACTTGGCTACGATAGTAATCTGGAAAACAACTGTTGGAAATAGTTTTACTTGTAAAGGTCGGATAAATTTGAAATACCTATTCGGTTTTTTGGGCATATAAAAAATGTGAAATTGTAAGACCGAAACTGTACTCGTACACTTACCTGTGCTAAGTCAAGATCTTGTGTGAGTCTTTTATATAGGTATGCATTTCAAACACTCTTCATAGTTCTCTAGTGTTCTAATTGATTGTTGAAAGGTGTTTAGAGACAACAGATCTCAGGTCTCGGCACGGAATACAGATAAATAGTGCGTAAAGTATATACGAACTTTCATGATCGTAATCTGGAAAGCAACGTATTAATATACGGATTAAAAAAGGTGCATTTATGCTTACTTTTGTTAAATGATTAATTTATTGATTCCTGGAAATATCAGTGTCTTCTGTTTTAACCATAGTTGTGTGTTCTGGATTGCTTGATTTGGGTATAGAACGTATGGTTTCTGCAACACAGATCATTTAAAAATATAAGCCATAAAAATACTTATCTTATAGAGTAGTCGTAGTTACCTAGAGTTCAGATGCGTCTTCATTTGAAGCATTAAAACGCTCATCAATTTCAAGTATTTTCTTGGGGTATAGCTGATGACCTACTGTAAAGTGGCGGCGTAATGCCCTAGAATTGAAACTAAGTGCACCTACGACTACGTCTGCCTTACGACTCGAACGATACACATATGGGGGTGCAGGTGGGTCTGCATCCCAGTTCTCTTCACTCTCTCTCAGGGGCGGGTATGGAGACGGATGACGCTGCCGCGGCTCAGGGCATGATGTCGACTCCGCTTGTGCTCCCTTCTGCAGATGTTCTGCAGATTTTGGACTATGTCGTGGCTCAAAGAATTCCACCGATTTAGCACCTACGACTATGTCTGCCTTAAGATTCGAACGATACACATTTGGGGGTGCAGGTGGCTCTGCATCCCAGCCCTCCTCTTCACTATCTTGTGGTGCAGGTGGCTCTGCATCCCAGCCCTCCTCTTCACTCTCTTGTGCTGCAGGTGGCTCTGCATCCCAGCTCTCCTCTTCACTCTCTTGTGCTGCAGGTGGCTCTGCATCCCAGCCCTCCCCTTCACTCTCTTGTGGTGCCGATGACTGTTCTATGGTGTTCCTTGCCGTCGGAATGTTCTCTTCTGCCGACTTTGATGAGGCAAGAGAATTTTGGGCAGCCAGGCTGTCCCGTAGCTGGAGTTCTTTAGTATGCGATGGCTTCTCATTCTCCAACTTCTTATTGTCAGGATTTTCAGGACAATACTGCATATGCCTCCACAGTAGATAGCGGAGAGTTCGATGCTCGCTAGAGAAAGGACATGTTGCAAACATACTTTCCCGTTGAGGCTTCATTTTTTGTCAAAAATTATCAAAAAATAAATTTTACTCCTTAAAAACAAAAAAAAATCCAATTAAATGTTGACAGTATAGATACAAGCTTTTGCTAAGGCTACTATATCTTTATGAATAACATCGGAAGCTGGCAACATGTCCATATTCGGAATATATTTATAATCTACTAGCGTCCTGCCTCTGCTTCGCACGGGTATTTTTACACAAATTTTAAAAATTATACATTTTATAACACACACACACTTAACACACATACACCCTTCTTTTTTTTGCACCATGTTCACCGTCGATAGTGTAGCTTCCCAACAGTGAAAGAATCCATTAAATCGGTCCAGTAGATTCGGAGCCTTTTCAATTCAAACAAACAAACATACAAACAAACAACCATACAAACAAACAATCATAATAATAATATAATATATTATAGATAATATTAGTATAGATGAGAAATATTTTGATTTATATTTAAACAATAGTATTTATATATTATTAGAAAACGGCGAAGTCGTTTTTTCTATTACAAACATAATTTTAAAAGTTTAAGATTTAATTCAATTGTTAACGTTCAGCTCGGTTGATAGTTTGATCGAATTATCGAACTCATTACTGCTGTTTGTCAACGGACAATCAACATAAATGTCAAACAAAACAAACAATAAAAAAAATACTATGTACATACACGTATGTACTTATATTTGGTATCATGTTGCTTGGTGTTTTGTATTATTACAAGCTCTGTTATCTATTTAATACATATGTATGTATATATGTATATATTTTCACATCTCAACTGCGCAACTGCTGTTAGGCGATCGGCTAGCAGTAAAAGCTCTTTCGATGCTGCCAGATCATTATGACTCTGCTCTGTTATAAAAAGCGCGCTCTGTTAACTCTATTAACAACGGTAAATGCGCAAATGAAATAAAAAAGCTGAACAACGTGCTGTATGTCTCCGTTTTTGTTTAATATTAAATTGTGTTTAAAGTGTTAACAGTGTTTAAGTATGGTGTATAGTGGATATATTCCACAGAACTTGTAAAGTACGAATGGAGACAATGGGTAATCACAGGATTTGGCTGCTGTGCATTTGTCTGAGCATCTGTTGGCAAAACGGCGGCGCCAACAAATCTGCACAGCGCGCCGAAATTGCAAAATTGCGAACCGAGCTGAGCGCCGCTCTAGAGGAAGAGCAGCCTGACCTGGTTAGTGAAAAATCAGTAACAATATATTTATTCTATTAACATTTTTTCTCAGCATGGCGTCATTGTTCAGCCCACATGGACAAATACTGGATCCAAAACGGCAGCGGTAGTCGACAGCAAAGTGGTCGTGGACAAGACATCACTTAGCGAGACATCTGCATTGCGTAGCGAAATAAATAGCGCAGTGGCCTCCAATTCATATGCTCGTGCCGATCCTGGAAATGCGGCGGAGGTCCGTGCGCTGGAGGCAGCGCTGTCGGGCAAGGGCAGCACACAGCAAGTGCCTAACTTAGGAAAGGCACACGACAAAATGGAGCTATTAGGTGGGAGCCAGCAAACAGACGAAAGAACATCAACAAATCAGCCCAATGTGGTTGACTCTAATGCCGCCGAAATCATTGGTGGGGAAGCGGAAATCGATTTGGCACAATTGCAGCGCTTAGAGCTGTCTAAGCGGCGCACACGTGAAATGCTTGTCTTGAAACGGATTGTCGAGGATTTCTCGTTCACGCTGGGTGCAGATGTGGAACAGTGGGCGCATGTGCAGCACAATGGCAGCGGGTACTTTGTGGGTCGACGCCGGCAGGATTTGGTCTTGCTCAGCAGCACCAATAGCAGTGGGTACCAGCAGCTTCAGACACTGCCGTTGTCGGGGCCCGTGACCGCAATGATGACCTTTGAGCGCTGGGATTCGAAAGCTCACCTGCAGGAGGGCGTAATTCTGATGGCCTTGGAGAGGCAGCTCTTTTGGTATCGGTATGATGCAGTCACTGGCTATTCGCTGCACTGGACCTGGCAGCTGGGGACTAACGTCACAAGCCTTGTGGCTTTTATGGTGGAGAATCGAGAGTATCTGGCCTTAACTAATAATCAGAGCATCAGCATCTATGGCTATGACTTGGCCGCCGGCGAGTTCTGGATAGAGCAGAGATTGCAGCTTGGAGGCACTTGCACAGCGCTTGCTGTGCTTGACACGGGTCGGGACCTGTTGCTGGCGGTGGGGCGAGAGAACAAGACGTTGATATATGCTTACAATTCGCGTGTGTTCAGCAGCGATGCAGGACTACGTTTCCGTCTGCGTCACAGCCTAGAGAGCCCCCAAATTGGACACATTGCTGCCTTCCAAATGGGCGGTCGCAGCTATCTAGCATTGGGCGGACAACGACCGCAAATAATGCTTTATTCGCAGGGCCAGCTTCACCCGCGCACCATTCTCGGCCAGAATTTCGGGGTTGTAGAGTTGTTTTTGCCAGTGCCTGTGCGCACATATCGAGATGATCTACTGCTCCTGGTGCAGCATCGGGTCCAATTTGATACCCACCATCTGGTTGTGCTGGAGACACTGGTGTGGAATGGTGATACCTTTGAGGCGAGTGTGCCAGCGCCTTGTGAGCTGGGCAGCCAAGTGGTGCACATTGGCGTCGGTTGCATGCTGGACATACAACGGGATGCTGGTCTGAAAGGGGCTGCCCTTCTCCGTCAGGGCGATATACCCCTTCTGCTGGTGCCGCGTCATGATGCGGAGTCGGGCCTGTTTCGTTTGTACACCGAGCTTTTGCCTCGCAACTCAGAACTGCATGATTTACAGGAAATCTATGAATTCATGCGTCATTGGGTGAGCGAGCAGGATGAGTTGGTTTTGGCCGCCCAGCAGTTATTGGAGGCGTCCCAGCCACAAAAACACCTGAACTTTGACGAGGTGAACACGCCACTTCTGATTGTTGTGGGCGCCGAAGTGCAGGCGCTGCACATTAATGATGTACCCTGGACAGAGGCGGATGTACGAATGAATGTGCATTGGCTGCTGCAGCAACTGCGTCTACTCGATCACGACCTTTTGGGGGAGGGCGCAACAGAACCAGAATCTCGCTCTGGATATCGTTTCAAACGCCAACCTCAACTCTTTCCCTTTAACTATGAAAGTCTGGAATTTGACTTTGTTGAAGCTCAGGAGCTGCACGTGGAACAGTTCAATAATGAACTTTTTTATGTACAGGATTCCTCGCTCCAATTTGAGGGCACCCTCAACGTCCAGCAGCTGGAAGTCTTGGAACCAAAGGATGACATAATACCACGTACTGTAGATGAAACAAATACTACCACAACTCTCAATTCTACGATGGAACATCTACAAATAAATGGTGACATCATCTGTGAATACATCAATGATATACCTTGGTCAGAGTTCGTCAAACAGCTCGTGTGGCGTAACAAGGCACTAGAGCTTCCTCAACTGAATGTGCATGGCGTAAGTACATGGGTTTTTAACCTTTACCATGAGTATGGTACCGATAAAGCTAGTTTAACAAAATTAGATAGAATCTTTATCTTATATTAGAGACTCAAGTCCTCAAGTTTTTTATATATAATACCTTCCTTAATGGGTTTCCTACGCAGGCAGTTGTATTCGAGCAATCCTTGGAGGTAAGCACGCTCAATAAACTGAGCTTTCCGGGTGATTATCTCTGGTCCAATGCGAACATCACTTCGATTGTGGCGGCACCCAAGACATTCACTCAGACACTATGTAAGTTCGTCTATTAACTATTAAATTCTAAACTAATCCGTATTTTAAAACCCTTACAAACAGCTGTTAATGCTGTGGACACTGATGGTTTAATTAACGGCGTAAATCCACTCGATGCCATCACCTTGAGGGATGCGCAAGACTGGCCGGGCGTAGTCACATTCACACAGCTGGAAGTGTCTAGGGAGCTCGATGTAAGTACCGACGAAATGATGGGCAAATAAATTAGCAAGATAAATATATTGTTATAATATTCTTAGCTTCATGGCAGTGCACAGGGACGTCAAATCGAACAGGCGCCAACGAATCCCACACTGGCCGAGACGCATCTCATCCAAGCGGCCTGCCACTTTTCACAACTCGTTGTCAATGGAAACCTCATATTGCAGGGTAGATTCGACAACGATAGCTTCGACTCCCTAATTGGCGACATTGCCCAACGGCCAAGGGATCCAGCAGCGGAATTAGTCATACCTTCAGTCAAACGGTTCTCGCAACTGGTGTTGCCAGTGGATACACATGTCCAGGATGGCGCTATCAGTTGCATACCAATTGAACAATTTGTGACCAAACACACGCCACAGACCCTGCACAATCTAACGCATCTGGCGGGCTACATTTATTTCCATAGTCTGAAGCTAAGTGGATTCTATGATGGTGTCGATCTGGGCCAGCTATTACAACAGGCTTTACGTATTGATGAACCACAGGATGCGCCCGACACACAATTACATTTCGTGAATGGTGGAGAACTGTGGTTGGCACCACCAGTCGATGTCAAACTTCGAGTGACGCATACCCTCAACGACGTACCTCTGGCGACGGGCTATCAAATGTTGCATGAGACCATCTACATGGAGGAGGCGCAGTTTGAAAATCTCTCGACTGATGTCTTAGATGTGGCCGGCGGAGTGCAGGGAAAGGGTATGCTCAATGGTCGCAATATTAGCGACCACACACACGATACCAATAGTAACTGGACAGGCAATCTTCATGTGCAAGATCTCATCCTGCCGCAGGGTGTGCGAGCCGAGAAACTACACGGCATTAACTCCACTCGCCTGCTCGGCTTGCTACAGCAGCTGGACGAGCTTCCGCTGCTCATACTCTCCGGTCAGTTGCAGGTAGATCGTATTATCGTCAGTGGTGATGTGCAGGTGAGCGGTGCACTCAATGGCCAGAATTTTGAGCAGCTACTGGGTGATGTGGTTTGGCTGAATCGGCCCAACGATTTGCGTACGCGCTGGACGTTTGGGCAGCCTCCAATCTTTGCTAAAAATTTGCAAGTGCTTGGTACCTTCAATGAACGGCTTTTTCCCGAGCTAGTGGCGGATATTGTATTTCGTTCAAATGACTCCATCGTTATTGAGGGCACAAAGAGCTTTGTGCAACCACTCCGCGTTCTCGATCAGCTTCAACTGGAGGCTCTTAATGGCGTACCTTGTAAATATTTAGCAAATAAAGTGCAGCCCATAGAGTTTTCCGGTACGTTGCGCATTCCTGGCCGCCTCTATGTCGGACAACTTGAGGTGGAAGGCACTCTTAATGGCTATGATGTGAACAAACTGGAGAAACTGCTGCGCTGGGATCCCCATATGAAGGCCTATGTACACCGCGGCGTTGTCCGCATAGCCCCACAGCATTCCCTAAACGACATCACAGTATATGGTCATTGGGGGCATCGCAATGATGCCCCACTGATGCAGTTCTTCGAGGAGCTGTTGTACAAAAACCAGCCTGTATTGCTTCTGGAGGGGGAAAAGAACTTTACGGGGCGTGTGAGCATAAGAGGGGGCGCTCAAATTGGTGAGCTCAATGGCTTAAAACTGGACGATCTGCTGCATCAGCTGATATTCATAAATGAGGGTGCTTACGAAGGACGGATGATAACTGTGCATACTCCAGTCTACTTTAAGGCGCCCGTGGTGATGGAAGAACTGCTCATCAAGGATCGCTTGGTGTTGGGACAATCCCTGCTGAATGGCTGCAATATGAGTGACTGGCTGCGTGACACATTGCGCGTAGATCGTGACTGGCAAACGGAACGTAAGTAGCGTGCTATGAACAAATGAAGTCTTACCGGCATTCCACATGGTGCTTCATATTGCAGAACCACTTTTATTTGCACCCGGATCGTTGGATAACAATGCGTTGAACGTGCGTCGTGTAAACGGCTTGGATCTGGCTTGTGTTGTCACACTGCACACGGAACAGAAACTCAATGTGCCGCTGCTTCTCCTGGAGGAACTGTATGTGGATGGCCACATAAACGTACGGGGACTGGTTAACGAGTTGAACTTGTCCGAGGAATATGCCAATACATTGATGGTATGTATGATTAGCATCCACACCACTTGAATCAGTTGTGCTTTTTAAATTATTTTGCCTTTCCGTGCTCTATTAGTTGACATTATTATAAATTAATAATACTGATTAATTTTGATCGTTGTAGAAAAATCCAACTCATGCTCAAACAGTGAGTACGCCACTGCTCATGCAGTCGCTTCACGTGACTGGTGCTCTGCACGTGCCCGTGCCTGTCAATGGGGATCCCAATCTCAATTTGAGCGATGTGGCCAGTTTGTCGGAGCCAAAGCTGCGATTGCGAACGCCGCTCTACTTTGCCAGAATCCATACTCCCCATCTGCAAACTTCTCATCACATTTCGGGTATCGATTTCAAACACTGGCACCAAAACAGCCTATGGGCTCGTGGGCGACCCATGCAGTACATTACCGGTAACTGGAGCGTGGGGGAACTGCTAGTGCGTCAGCCACCAGCAGTGCCGTCGGGTCAGATTCCTGAACATAGTCTCTATCGAAGACGCACGGCCATGGATGAGTTTCAGGCATTGTGCGAGCGCTTTAAGAACATTTTCCAGTGGCTACGTTTCCCCTACCATGTGCAACGATTGGAACGACGCTTTGTACTGTCACTGAAACCGGAACAGAAGGACATAAGACGCATCTTTGAAATGAAAGCGCCCGTAAAGGAGGGCTCAAGCTATTTGCTCATCAATGAACGGGGCTGCTGGACGCGGGTCTATCGTTGGAATGGCACACTTTATATTCCAGCCGGTAGTTTTGAAAGTGGGCCGGTAGACGATGTATATGCGCTCGAGGTGGAGAATAATGCGAGCTCCACAAACGGGCAGTGGCACTTTATGACCAGCTTTGAGTTCGATGGAGACGAGACACAGCAATTACTTAACTGCAGCTCCCCAACCAACCTAAACTCCTGGCGCACAACCGCTGAAAGCGTAGAGTTAATGAATCTGCCAGCAAGTCTGCTCAAAAATCTACAACAACAGCGGCAGGCCCAACAACGTCTAATGCCCGTCAGCTATCCGCGAGCCTTAAAGTATTTGAGCCGACCGAACACGGACTCTGTGTTGCGGCCACATTTACAGGCTCCGTCAGCACTAAGCTATGAGGATTATCACTCATTGCTCAGCCACCTGCTGGAGGATCTCAGCTTTCGACTGCACACTGAAGTGAACATCACCCAGCTAAGCATACCCGAGAGTGATCTCTTCGATGAGCATCTGGTAGAAGATTTCCTTGCAGTGATGCAGTCGCTGCAGACGCAGCAGCTCTACGATCCCAAAAGTTTTCTATCGGTCGCCCCGGAGACACTGCAGCTGCCCGACAATCCAGCACGTGTTCTTGCCGCACGCAGCGTACAGCTTATATGGCCAGTAATTGTCGAGTTGGAGGCACTGCACGGCAAACTGCCGACCAATGCCACGCATGCGCATGACTTGTGCGTGCAGCTGAAACGCAGCCTCGGACTCAGTGTTCGCGATGTGCTGCTTATTGCCAACAGAAAGAAAGGGGACACCAAGCCAGTGTCAGAGGATTACACGCCACAGCTGCATGCCGTAATAGCTCGTCTACGGCAACTTCAGCAGCATCTACAGCAACTGATGCAGCCGGAAAAGGAAGAGCAGGAGGAGGGGGAGGAAATGATGGCAGCTGCAAGCAATCAGGACGAGACTATGTCCGTGATGATTACAGCAGCTCCCTTACAAACGATCCGTCTCGTTGTGGGGGATGCCAGGCGACCACGGCTACTATATGCACGCCTCACAATTGCCACAAAACCACCGGTGGTACCATCTACTGCACCACCGGCGCACATACAACTGCACTACGCCAATGGAACCCTGTTCCAGTCTTTGGCCGCAGCCCATACAGCCCGTCAACTGACAGCCCTACGGGTGCGCGATCAAACGCTCCTGGCCTTTGCCGAGAACTGCTGCCGTGTCCGGGTCTTCATTTACCGCGGTGTCCAGGGCTTTGTATCCTTTGCTGACTTTACTGTCGAACAGCCGATTGTGGAGCTGCTGACCATGCGGCTACCTCTAAGGAGACCCCCGGGCGCGATGTATGCGCTGGCCGTGGCACATCCCCGCCAAATCGTATTCTACGAATTGGTAATTATGGGCCTCCTCGAGCCCTGGATGCAATGCACATAGCCGTAGCGTTTTGTTTTTACTGTTAATCTTTTTGTTATTTTCTTGTTATGTATCTACACATTGTTAAGTTTAATTTCTTAATTATAGTATAGTATGATTTACTACCGTCTATTCCTTCAAAAATGTGTCTTTGGAAAACGTTTAATGTTGCATGATGATAAATGCAATTAAAAATATGTTAATTGTTTATTGTAACATACAAAATAATATTATAGTTTTTTAGGCAAGCGAATAACAATTAATTCGAGAACTAAACCAAATAAATGTTAAGTGATTTAATCGAAAGCGCTGTTTTTTCTGCAACGATGTGTTTATCGGAATTCCTTTTGAGTGTTTTCTTGAAATATTTGAGTTTTATTTTTATGGGTCTACAATGTGAGATGGGTCGTATACTACTCGTAATACAGATTAAAGAACTTTCGCAGAATGTTTTAATACTTATAAGATTAATGGCCAGCTGACGAGGGATAATTCAGGTCGAGTCGTGGATAAAGGTTTATAAGTAGTGGGGAGTATGAACATGGCAGTACAAGATGTTTAAAGTTTACCCATGATCACCATTCTATATATAGATACATATTTCAAGTTTATATAAAAAGAAAAATGAAGACCAAGACACAACCAATATTTGAAATATTTTATTTATTATATGAGAGTAGAACACTACAATTTTTTGTTTTGTTTTTTCATTTCTAAGTATAAACGATATTTGAACCACAACTTCTTATGTTTGACTCTTACAGCTTAGGCCCAGCTTATGACTACGCCCCCAGTTAGGACCCGTTTAGGCGGCGGGTGGTGCCCACCAACTGGCGCACGCGCGCAGTTGGCACATGAAGATTCCACAAATTAAGCAAGGAAAAAATATATAGTATAGTATGTAGACAGTGACTAAAATAAATACAATACACACGATTTTATTAACGGCTATATACACTTTAGAGACGACACTGTCGGTGGCCTACGGAATCTTGACTGGTAGGAAGAGGCGTGGATCGCCGATTTTGGGACTGAGACGCACAACCACCTGGTCGTCGCCATCGCCGACCTCGAGGAATGAATTCCAATCGGCCAGGAAATAGAAACCATTCTTTTTCTTTGCCGGCGGCGGCTCCAGCGTTATGGGATCTGGTCCGAAAGAGTCGGCCAGATCATCCAGAGAGCCATTGCGCGACTCATCGGTGGCGCTAGACGACTCTGTGGTGGTGCTGGTCGTGCTGCTGCTTGCACCGTCTTTGGCAGCTGATAGTTGGCTGTCCATGTCCGCGTCGCCAAGACCCAGGCTAAGACTAATTTTTGTGGGCGCTTGGGTCGTGCTGCTTACGGACTCTGGCGCTTCTGTAGTTGTGGTGGTAGTGGTGGTGGTTGTCGTCGTTGATGTGGTTGCCTCGCTTTGCCTCCGTGCCTTGGACGTCTCATCACCACCAAGCTGCTGTGCCTGCAGTCCCTGTAAATATTGTGCATCTGATTGGTTCTGTCCCAGACCTGTATATAAATGCTGCTGTCCCAGACTGACATTTAGCTTTTGAAGTTCTTGCAGATTGCTGATCAGACGCTGCAACTCGCCCAAGTTATCGCCAATTTCCTGTGCCTGTCTGGGCTCTGGTGCGACCGCTTCTTCCGACGGTGGTGGCATTGCCAGCTGATAGTTTAGTTCGCTGAATTCGGCCATTAGGTCGCCGTCCAGGACACCCGTGTGGGCATCTGCATCTTCAGTATCCAAGTCATCGTCGCTGCGACGTCTGAAGCCCTGACCCTGAACCACTGGCTGTTCCGTAGAGACTCCGATGCGATTGGCCGCACGCTTAATGGCCGCTTCAATGATTTTTGTAGCGCTGAAGATGGGTAGCTCCACATTACTTTCGGTGGTAGGACGTGGCTCGCGCGGTGCCACCGGCTTCGTGGTAGTCAGAGAAAACACCGCTGGCGAGGACGAGTCATGAGTTTGCACGGGCGATCCGCTGCTGGCAGTAAAGGCCGTCGCCGCTGACGTTGTGGTCGTGATTCTGGGCGTTGTTTGTATGAGTGGTGTGGTGCTACTTGACTGTAGCTTGGTCTCCAGTTGCTGGGAGAGTTCGTTTGGCAATGCAACGCCCAGTTTCTTAAGCTCTTGGGCATTGTAGAGCAGCTTCTGTAACTCGTTCAGATCGGCTTGCTCTGCTGTCGCAGAGTTGGGTGGCATAGTGGGCCGTCTGGCGGGCACAAAGCGAGGTGCTGGTGGTGGTGGTGGAACAGCTGGTGTTGTCGTTTGTCCACCAATCACCGTTTTGTAGATGGGCTGCATATTCTGATAGCTCTGACGCTCGCCCTGATCCTCCAAGCTGCTGAAGAACTGCTGATACTGCTCGAACTCCTTGTCATCGATGCCGCCTGTGCCACGCTGTGGATGCGCCGGCTGAGACATGGCCAGCTCGCGCAGTTCCTCACTCGAAGTGACCTCTGGCGTCGGCTTGGGAGTCTTGGAGCGCGTTGGCTGCTCATAAACGGGCAAATCCAGCTTAAGTTGCGGTTCTTCCTCATCTTTGGCAGGTTGGGCGTAAATAATTTGCATGCCACTCAAGCTTTTTACGTCCTGTGTTCGTATAGAGGCAGCGGTGACCAACTGGGGAGCGACCGTCACTCCCTTGGTCTTGGGTATCTGCACGCGCTCCAGCTCCTGCACCTTGCTCAGTAGCTTCTGTAGCTGTACATAGTCCTGTGGTTTTACATCTGACAGCAGATTTGCGCCAGCTCCCGTCTCATTGGTCAGCTCAAAACTGTTCGATACTGGTCGACGGGGCTTGGGCGCTGTGGCAGCGGTGGAAATTTCCACACCAACGGCTGAAGGCGGCGTCTTATGCTGCGCCAATTGCTGCAGTTGTGCGAAGTCATTGCTGGGCAGACCCAAGACCGGAGCCGAGGGGGCTGCTAGCACATTACGAGTGGTGAAGCCCAGAGAGTTGGCTGCAGCCACATCGGCGGTGGGTGTGGTTGGGACAGGGCTTGCCAAATTGAGACGTTCCAGTTGCTGCACACGAGTGATAAGTTCCTGGAACTGGGCATGGTCAACGGGCGTTCTACCCTTGGCGGGACGATGAGTAGTGCTTGTTGTTGTTGTCGTAGTGGCCGCAGGACGAGTGGCTCGCTCCAACTGTTGAAAGTAAGCCTGAAGCTCTGCTAGGTCGGTATTGGCCTGGGGACGAGGCGTTGTGCTGGTGGTAGTTGTGGTGCTAGTGGTGCTGGTCTTGGCCAGCTTCTTGGTGTTGCGCGCCTGCTCGTACAATCTCTCCAGCTCACGATCATCGCTGAGCAGTCGCTGCAGCTGCACCAGATCCTTGGGGCCCAGTGCGCCAAAGTTGTCTAGACTAGTGGGTGGTTTGCGGGTGGTTGTTGTTGTAGATGCTACTTTTCTGGCCGCATTGGCCTGCTCCAGTTGCTGCAACTGCTTGAGTATCAGCTGTAGCTCTCGCTCATCGTTTGTGGGTCGTGGGGTGGTTGTGGCAACGGCAGCGGCGCTGAATCGATTGCTGAGTGTCTGTGTCCCCGGCTTGGCCGCCTTCAGCACATTTTCGGGATTGATCTTCAACTTCTCCAGCTCCTGTAGATTCTCCAGTAGTTTGGAGAGCTCGTCTGTTTGGCTGTGTGGCGTCTGCTGATTACCCGCGGACGCAAAATTAATATCGATATTGGGGTCTATGCGACGTCTCGGCTTCTTAGGCTCTATCAGCAGTGGTTCGCCGTGAGTAATGAGTTGCACTGTGGGCGAAGCTGTTGGTGGCGCGGCAGTAGTTGTACTAGTCGTTGTTGTTGTTGTTGTTGTTGTGCTTGTTGACGTTGTTGTGGTGCTGGTTGTGCTAGCCTGACGTTTGGGCGTCTTGTTTTGCAACCTTTCCAGCTCTTGCAGATTCTCCAGCAGCTTGGCTAACTCCGCGTTGCTTTGTGGTGGCAATTTAGCTGTAGTCGTTGAGAGCTGCGTTTGTGAGCTAATCGGCTCTACTGTCCCAGCCGCCGAATCCTGTGCCTGTGTCTGTGTCTGTGTCTGTGACTTTTTTAGCGCCTTGCTTGACTTCTTCACAATGCCAAAGCGAGTTAAATAGCCCTCTACCTCGGGCTTGACGCGTAGCTCCTCGCCAATGTTCAGCGGCTTGAAGTTTGTATAAGCATCAGGCTTAATGCGCGCCCCCTGCAGTCCACGCAGGTCCGCCACGCTAGCCACCACCGGCTGTGGTGCACTCTCGGCTGTGTAGTAATCATCCACGGCGTACCGCTTGTGCGTTTGCCCGCCACTTACGATTCCTAGACTCTCCAGTATGTCAGCGACTGGCTTTACTGTGGTGGTGCTGGTGGTGCTAGTCGCGACTGGACCACCGGGCCTCGGCCTGCGCAAAAATTGCGCATTCTTCGCACTGTAGTGAGAGCTAAATCGCTGAGAAGTCGATGGCGATGGTGGTGCAGGTGCCGCTAGTGGTCGTAGCGGTGGCACTTTGGCATAGTCGTAGGCATAGGGCAGCTTAGTCACAGGCTGGAAGTCCATACTGGGCTTGCCCAACGATGGCGACATCGGGTACATGGCCGGGGCTGGTGGATGATAGGTGGTTGCAGTGGGAATCGGCCGAAGCTGCAGCTTAGGATTATACGCCGGCTTGTAGGTGGTGGCTGCAACGGCAGGATTGCCTCCGGGTACCGTGCTGCGCGGCACTGCGCTCGGATCGGGAGTTAGAAATTTGATCGGATCTGGTGGCGTGTACGCATCAATTACCCGTGTTACGGGCGGTCGTGTGTACAGCTCCTGGAGGTTCTCCTCGGTGTTGTTGTCCGTATTGTAGGGCAGAACCAGCATCAAGGCCCTCATGCTGTCAGCACGGCTCATATCTCCCGCCTCAATGCTCTTCTCGTACTCCTCACGTGTGACCTTCTCGTAGAGCTCCTCTATCTCGCCACTGCATAGAAGGAAAGGGTCACAGATTAAACAAGTTTTTGTGTGATGCCTTGCTACTCACCGCGTCAGCCTCGGCAGCGCTGGATCATTGGCCAATATCTTCTGCACTTCATCTATCGTCTGCTCTACCTCGGGCGGCTGAAAGAAACTCTTGTCCAGCTGCTGCACATAGTTTCCACTGCCCTGTTGCTTGATCGTCGGCAATGCCGTTATCAGAGTTAGATGTAGGAGCAGGACCAGCATCCACTGCCTTAGCTTTCCATGCGGGGCGGAGCGGCTCATTGTGAAACGCTGTAAAGGGACAAATTTATAAAGACGGAGAATAAGTGGAATGAAGAGTAGTCAGCTAAGCTACGGTCAGACATGCAAATGATTTGCTCACAAATTTCGATTATTTTATTAATACAAGTAGTCTTTAAACAATTAATCCGTTCGTTCTAACAGAAAATATGCGTTTCAGTATGGAATTCTTATTGGTTTTTAGAATTAACCTTAAATGCTTGATATACTTTTGAAATTCGAATTTCAAATCACATTTGTCAGTCTGACCATATCTTAAATATTCGCCAACACAAGACGTAATCAAAATATTGTAAGCTGTATATTTTATCTTTTGAGTACTTTGTACTTTAAACGACTGAACTAAAAATGTACGTGGAAGAAAAGACTCCTAAAAATTTTTAAGTAGTGCCTCAATGAAGCTAAAAGTTAACTATCACAAAAGAGCCAAGTCATAGTATTTTCTCTTCAACTTGTTAGTCATAGGTTTATGAATTTCGAAAAACGGAAACAAACAGCATTTAATAAAACTTCAAAAATACATATGTTGGAGTTATGACAGAGTAGAAAAACTGGAATTTATTTCGTCAGACTATCCTAAAGGGTACACACTTTGCCAGTTAGAAATTATTTGTATTATTGTATATATAAGTAGTTGGAAAGAGTTATTCTTGCTACTATTGATGCAGATGGTTGTAACCCACAGACATCAGTTAGAATTAAAAAAAGAAAAAATGGATCAGTTTTTATATTGATTAATAGTAATCAAAATTTGATATTTAGTCATATATTATTGAATAGACATATTCGAAATTCTTCTCCTTTTTCTGTTTTTAGTTTGTTGATGAAATAATAGGCATCATAATTTTCTTTTTTAATAATGTAAATTGTGATATTAAGTCATTAATTAAAAAGTTTTCATTTGTTATATGTAATATTTATACATGGAAATTGGAAACTTTTGCCCAATGGTGAGAGGGCGAAAGTGCACACAAGAAAAACCACGCGTCAAAGGAATGATGCAACAGGTCCATCCCATGTTATTCGAACATGTCCGCCTGTCTGTACGTATGAACACCCATAACTTTGGAACCATTAGCGCTAGGTACTCCAAACTTGTTGTGTAGACTTGTGCTGTCCATATGCAGAGCAAGTTTACTACAAACGACATCTGCCTCATTATTTTATATAGCTGCCATATAACTGGTCAGTGGAAATATCTCTCAACTAGTATCTTGAGAAAATTTCGTATTTATTTCGTATGAAATTGGTTAAGATCGGTTGACTATATTATAATATAGCTGTCATAGAAACGATTCGTGCAGCCAAGTTGAAGGACTGTGGTCGAGTGATCGTTTATTTTAACAAATTCCGAATCGTATAAGTATAAAATCGAGTACCCTAATGCAGATGGAAATTGAAGAGCATTTGAAATCGTTCGCTGCCATAATCCGATCTGAATAAGTCACTCAGTTGACTGCACATGAGATCAGCGAGCCAATCGCTACAGCATCAGTCGCTCAGTCATGGATAAATCCCCAGAGGTAGAGTTTTAAGCAAGACTTCATTTGGCAACCGAGGACTTGGGCAATGCAAGCTGTGGTTTGCAATTCTACGACCACCAGCTCCATAAATTGCTCCACTTTGAGTCAATGACTGACTGCAACGACCATTCCGGACGAATCGCGACATGCCAGCACGTGAACGACGGTCCATTTAGAATGCGAGGCACGTCCCCAAATGGCTGACCACATAGCTCGGCCATAACTGGCGGCACTTTAGGCTTGAACTACGACTGTGGTTGGTTGGTTGGTTGTGGCTGCAATTCGTTTTACAAGATTATCTAACAGTTTATTTTTTGCTAACGGCGCTGCTATAACGCCGAACGACACTGGACGCGTCGCTTTCTTCGCTCGCGCAGCCAACTCATTAAATTTATGATTTAAGTGCGGCAATTAAGTGAAAATTAAACGCTTCGATAGATCGACGGAAAAGGCTCGAGTACGCAGCAATGGACTGTGAAGTGTCGGAATGTGTTCCGTCAAATCGCAACCACTGCAGATGGCCATCATCGACCACATCATTGCATAATCGTCATCTCCATTATCATTATAAGATCGTTAGATCGGACAAGTGGAACTTGCGCTCGGCTAGTCTGGAAGGAAAGATGAAGGAAGGAAGGCAAATCTCCTTGCATAACATACTCGCTCTGCAAAAATCATAAACTACAAATCCTATTTGCAAATGGAGTGTGTGTGTAAGCATAATTGCTTTTGGCGCGGCCAACAAACGACCAGCAACTACAACAACAACAACAACGCCACTGACAAAAAAAAAAAAAAAAATGTTTGCCGTCACAAAAAATGAAAAGTATCTTCGTCGTAACTTTTTTCATGCTTTTTAGTTATATGCTTAAATGAATTTTTACACTTTGTTGTTGCTGCTGTTGTAGTTATTGTTGCTGCTGTCACTTTTGACAAAAATTTGTCATGCATTTCATTTCATTTCACTTCATTTTTCTCTCTTTTTTTGCTTGTTTTCTTCTCTGCACTAAAGCGGAAATTTGTTAGCTGGTAGTTGAGAAAATTGTACGCCACTTGATTGAAGGCTTCGTCTATAAGTATGTCTGTAGTATGTACATACAAACATGTGTTTATTTTTTATGAAGTTGTCACAATTAGCTTTGATTTTCAGAGCGATTTAAACCAAAGCATGGCCAATTCATACCGGAGCTTGTGGCATATACAATATGTACGAGCATTGGCGGATCGCGATTGGTTCGATTTCATTATACAAGTAGTAACTACGTATAAGCTATATTTTTGTGATGAAGCTCTGCAGATTTATGTAAACAAATTGAGTTATAGCGAACAATATAACTGACTGCTTTGGTCATAAAAAAAACCAAAACGCTATTGTGTGGTTTAAAAATCACATATTTAAAAAATTTGATTACAAAATAAGCTCACAATCGGGACTTACTGCACTGGAACTTACGACAAAGATACAATACTCTATAATGGTACACTCTTGTGGCCGTACTATCGTATGTATTTTTCATTGACTTTCGCGTCCCACAAGCGATTCAACCATATCGTTCAAGCATATCCTTTTCATGACAGCTTTAATTGAATGGCTTGGAGAATCCCATGTGCAGTGCCGAAACAAAAGTCATCTGAAAATCTATGGGATGAGGTTTCAAAATCGAAATGAACAATATTGGCAAAATCTATGTCTATAACATATGGACATGATGGATACGTCATACAAATGCCACAGATGGCCGCAATTCCTGCCACATCAGCCGAGCCTTACATAACCAACATAAACTGCGACTTCTTCAAAGTCCCTGAATGCCCTAAGCATGCGTGTGGCTTTGTCGAACAGTAGTAAGGATCCCTAATCCACCATTGGTAGTCAAAGTATCTTATCTTATCTACCAGACACCTGCCACCTCCGATAATTCAAAAATTTCCAACATCTCGAGTAAATGTCTTTAAGACATAAGGAATGAAGACATTTCCTAAACATACTAAGTACTAAAGGAACCGGAAATTTGAATTTAAATCGATAGGAACTTTTTGCTTAGATTTTTTTCAATGTTTCAAATTATTCAACAGAGAAATTCGGTTAAATATTGAGTGAAGAAAGAAATTTCTAAATTTATAATTATAAATATAGTTAAAACTTGAAAATGTACGGTATTTGTTGGTTTAGACCTGGAATACCGAAATACCGCATGTAACGCAGAAATTCCAGTTGCTCTAATCTCTTAAAAGATTTTGTTATTTCTAAGAAATTGCGCATTTATGTCCGACAAGTTACGTTGCTACTACTTTTAAAATACATATGTACATATGTATGTACATACGAGTATCCACATTTGTAATCTGTCTTTAAACTTCAGACGTCAAATGCGTTTTAATTTCATAATCATAGCCATGCACTACTAACTTAATGTCGCCGTGTATGTGTGTGTGTTTGTTTGTGTTACATTTCCCATATTCCACTCACATCCATACATACATACATACATATGAACGTATGTACGTATGTATATGTATGAATGTTGAGTTGTAACAACAACAACTAATAAATTAAGTAAGCCAATCTAAGGTGAGTGCATTTCCAATGCACGCCGGCTTCGCTGAAGCGCATTAAGCTCTGGCGCTGACGTCAACGGTGACTGCGCTGCCTGCCGCATGTGTGTGTGAGTGTGTGGCAACAATTATGCTTTTGTTAAGTAATTTTTTGTAGTTTGTTATGATTAGCTATTAACAATACGACCAAGTCTTTGCTTTCGAGTCGATGACGTTACGATCGCCTAATTGAAACGATTTGCGTGGCATGAGATTTTCATTTATTTACGTTTTTTTTTTTCAACTTTTCATTTTCATTTGCTATTAGTGTTGTGTGTTGATTGAAATGCGTTTTGTAATTGTCAAGCTTGTCATTAAGGTTGACATTTTGTCGCGATGAGGAAGCTAATAAAACTAATTCGATAAGACAGCCAGAATTCCAGTTACGAGTTAGAGTCGACAAACGAACTTTCTTAAATCACACTCCTTTATTAATCAAATTTATTTCAGTTTCTCCACATCTTTAGAGCGTTAAAATTTTCCACAATTTCTAAACAATGAAAGCTTCTAAATAGCTCATTTGTTTGTCAGTGAAATGATAAAAAGCAGCAAAGATAAAACTCCGGTATTCCATCCCAATGAAATTTAAATTTAAAACAGAACACGAAAAGAAGGCGCTAACAGTGTTAATAATATTCTCGAAAACAGTCTGCTTAGTTAATCTAACCAAAGAGGCGGCCACATTAATCAGATTAATAACGAACTAATAGAACTTGCAGCTAAAATCGTTTTGCGAACAGAAGGTCCACAAAGTCTTTTACAAATCTAAATTACTTGGAGGCCAACCAATAATGTAAGATTGCTTAATCTTTTTGTAATATTATTTTAAATGAGTAGATAAAGCTCCATTTGATCTGTAAATTAATGTTTAGT